TGCTACTATAAAAATTAACGCCAGTCTCAATACCAAAGGAAAGTACTAAAACCAATGTTAAAAGCCAACGGCGGCAATCACGAACAGGTTTTAATCAGCAGGCTCACTTGCCAGGAACACACTGTATGCGCGCCGCGGTCTGTCAACGGGGGGGGGTGAGCATATATATATATATATATATATATCTGTGAACTCTGTTTCAGTTGTGGACGTGTGACCTGCCATGCAGTGTCAGCTCGCCTGACGGTGCCAAGTAGGAGCCAAATATATATATATATATATATAATTATATATATATATATACACGTATACACATATAAGTATTTATCTATGTCTGTTGTTTTAAAGTTCCAGCTTCTTGCTGACGCTTTAGCTTGAGAGCCGCAGGTTTTTCGCTGGCATATCTCAGTCTGATTGCAGCGACGGTGGCGTACAGCAGCTTGGAAGCATGCAGCGCTGCATATCACGTGAACCGTATAGTATCAGTAAGGCCGTATAGATTGGAACAGAGGGCAAGATCCACCATGAAAGATGACGGTGCTCTGCAACTGATGTCTGTCACGATGCTCCAAGCAAGCACACGTTGTCCCGATCTGCTAACTTCCAGGCATGGTCATTGGGGTGCCGAAGCCGTTGCCCTGGGATGGGCTCCCTGCCTGATCCCTTGTTACATAAGCTATGTTTCCTGTGCAGCTCGGATTTTTGCAGAGAGTTGTAAAGCTCGACCGATGGGTTCCGACGCAACTCGACTGTTTCTAGGTTGGCTGATTGCTTTGCTGGATACAAAACCCAGTATGTACGTCCGGTCCCACTGAGAGATGCTGCAACTAATTGAGGCTGGGAGGGTTGCTTGTTATTGATTGCCTTGTTCGGCGCCCCGAGGTCTACATATGTACACGTATACGAACGTACATGCATGCCGGCATGTAATGTGCATCTAAGATCATCTAAGCATGGACGCATGCTTGTGACATGACTTGGTTTTGTGGCGACCTACATGTAGGCAGGTTCTGCGCACACACACACACGCAGGTAAATCTACCATGTTCGAGTTCGTTAATATGAATGTGTGCACGTGTCTGTTCTATGATGCATGCATGCGTAGTCTAGAAGTGATGGCATATATCATCGTTTTTACATTGGTACAGCACAACATAGAGTAGAAGCTTGAATGCAAGACGCAGACACATGTGCCCCGCAATCTTGGGGAGCTTAGCCAGTACATACATATGGTCCCTCTCATCAATGGCAGAGCGAGAGGAGAAAGGTTTTACAAGATACGAGACGAGACATATATAAGATGTCAGATATGACATATATCCTTACATGCAAGAGAATGCTTAAGATATTGTACTGTAGTAGAGTATGTTCAGTAAAATCGCCCAGCGCGGCGGGCCCTTTCTGTGGGGCGGCCCCTTAGTGCCAGTACCTTCGGCGTGTGGTCGCACTCTCGGGCGACATGGGCCTATACCACGACGGAAAGCGGCTAGCTGTGCGAATCGACCCTCGCGACCCTCGCAATGCTGCTCGGCAGGGTCTTTGGCACCTTCGGCAGGTTCCTTTTCACTGGCACGTCGACGAAATCCAAGAAGTTCTGAAGGACGTTGGCTTTGAACAGATCGAGGTGCAGGCCCGCTACCGTGATCGTCGGGCCGTTCGGTGGACGTTCTTGGCTCTTCGAGCCGACCGTCGGGACTACGTCCCGATCAAGATCGAGGACGCGGATCTTGGCACCCTCGAGCTGGAGGCCTCGCGGCACCGCCGTCAGGGGCGTAAGGAGCAGGCGCGCGAGGCCATCAAGCCGGAGCGTCGGCAGAGCGTGGCGGTGAAGTCTCAGGACGTTGCGGAGTTCCGGGGCAAGGGCGCCGGCAAGGGCGCCAAAGGTGGAGGCCAGTCGCAGCGGCCCGGGATCACCGAGGGATCCTTTCGATGACTTGATCACCTTGGATGGCGATGTGGAGACGGAGGTCGAGGCCGGGGACAACCCGATGATTGGCAACAAGCGGCAGGCTGCGGCTGTGGCTCCGGTGGCCAAGAAACCCAAGCAGCTCAAGCTCGCTTTACCGCCGGGGGCCACTGTGATCAGCAACGATGGGGGTGGCAACTGCCTCCCGGCGGCTGTCGCACAGGCCCTGACATCGCATGGAGGCAAGCCGGTCAGCCATCGTGGCGTTCGCCGCGCCATGACCAGATGGATGCGAGAGCAAGCAGCACATCTGCAGCCCCTTTGGGACGGCCGTGACACGAGCGATCAGCCCTGCCAGCAGTCCTTCGCAGAGTACCTCTCGGCTGTTGAGGCGGTGGGTTCCTGGTGCGGCAACCTGGAGGTGTACTCCCTGAGCCCGGGCTTGCCGGCCAACATCCTCGTCATGGACTTTGACGCGGAGACCACGTTCAAGTTCGTGAGCCAGGCCGACTCAGACCCGTTTGTCGTGCTGAAGTGTAGCTGCAAGCACTATGAGTGGATCAAGTGCTCGCCGGAGGCCCTGGTTGACATTTGGTGTTATGCTGCCGTCGGCAACATTGACACGGCATCAGAGGCCTCCGGTGCTGCGGTGGCGCTGGCATCTGGTATCCTTGAGGGCGGCCACGCACCTAGAATGGAGATCGACACTGCCTCCATGGGGCTTCCCTTTCGCGGGGCTGTGGCTCTGGTGACCAGGCTCCAGGGTCTCTGGCGGTTGGTGGGCACATGGTCTTTGACAACTTGTCGGCGGTTGATTCCGGGCCGCCGTCGGCTCCCCGGCCATCGTCTTCGCTGGCTGGAGACTTGGATTCGATTCGTGCCCATCGTCCCTCGCGGTCGTGGCCTACGCCGGCTGATCTCCGATCTTTGTCTTCGGCGTCTTCCACCCGGCCTGCTGTGCTCCCACCTCGTCGTCGACTCCGGGGCAAAACCAACCACTGGGTATCGTTGTCGGCGGTGGCTAAGGCTGGTGCTGACGTTGAGGTGCCGGTTGAGGCCGGGCCGCCGCTGGAGCCGAGCGCCCCAGAGCCATTGGATAGCCAGCCGAAGCGGTCCAAGTATAGGGTCGGCGCAGTTGTTCGGTGGCCTTGCCCGCTGTGCCCCATGGTCATCGAAACCACGTCGCCGGACACTCTGCAAAAGCGGCGGTATGACCATTGCCATCGTCAACATGGAGGCCAGGGATTGCCGGGGACGAAGCGCGTGAACTTCGATGCTTTCAGGACCTTAGGCCCCGACGAACCAGAGGATTGGCGGTGCCCGCTATGCAACTGGGGCCTGCCGGTGGGCACGCGTGGCGGCATGACTTTTAAGACATTTGCGACCGCCAAGGAACGCCACCGCAAGGCGAAGCACCGCCACATCAGCCGGCAGGAGTACCTCGCGAAGATCAAGGCCAGGGGTGCCCGAAAGCCTGCACATCGCATGCGGGCTCGTGTTCGCCTCCTCAACGCGGGCGTGGCGAAGCGACAAAAAGAGGGGCTGGCCGCTACTCCGGGCTGGACCCTTTTCCGGTGGCCCTTTGTTGCCAACAAGGCCAAGAAGCGGGTGTTCAAAGTCACGCAGGCCTGGAGTGCTAAATTTCATAATCCGGGGTTTCAATTGAACTACCGGGTGATGAATTTTCGGGTGATTCTTGGCAGATGCCAACATGATGTGTCGACACATAGATTGACACTTATGCTTTTATACTTGTGGTGTTCTTGACAACGTGGTTTTGCCGCATTGATTTTGCCTTGATTTCCGTTCTTTTGCAGCCTTGGCGACACCTTGGCGTATCTTGTGTTGCTTGTGTGACTGTCCTACCAGAGGGGTGTGGTTCTTCCCATATCAAGACACCCTTTCATGTCGTTGGCCTGGCATGGGACTGTCGGGGACTGGCCGCCTGCCCACTGGGGCTGAGACCCTTCTGGCCAACCAATCTGGGGAAGAGATTGATGACAGCCAGGCGATGCGCTACTGCGCTGGCTGGGGGTCAGGGAGTGGTGGCACGGGGGATAGCTCCGGCTTCGGACCGGCTTTTGTCCGTAAACAGTCCCCGGCATGCGTGGGAGGCCATTCACCGTT